TAAGCCTCTGCCTGAAGCACCAGAATCCCATAAGGGTGCTGGTTGGTGTCCCAGCTGCTCCTCTCCCAATCCAGCACCTCTGCTATGGCCTGAGAAAGCAGTGGAAGATGGCCCAAGTCTTTGAGCCCCTGCATCCATGTGGGAGACTTGGAAGAAGCTCCTGGCTCCTGGCTCCAGATCCATTCAGCTGCAGCCATTGCGGACATCTGGGGAGTGAACCGGTGGATGGAAGACCTTTCTCTCTCTTTCTCTCCGTCTCTGTTTCTGCAACTCCTCCACTCAGATAAATAAATAAATAAATAATCTTTAAGAAAAAATAATTTGGCAAAGAGTCTAAGTGTCTCAAAAGAAGAAAATCCAAATAGCCAACAAGTACATGAAGAAAATAATCAGCATCACCGCTCATTAGAGAAATGCAGATGGAGACCACAATGAGGTATCACCATTCCTCTGTTAGAAGTACCAGAAAGACAGGGTAACAAATGCTGATGAGAATGTGAGAACAGGGCAGAACTCTCATACACTGTTGGTAGGAATTCAAATTAGTATAGCTACTATGGAAAACAGTATAGACATGAAATCACTATATCGGATAAATATCTGCTCCACAATATTTATTGCATTATTCACAATAGACAAGATATGGAAAAAACTAAGGTGTCCATCACCAGATGAATGGTTAAGGAAAGTGCTGTATATGCACACAATGCAATTCTATTCAGCCATAAAAAGGAATGAAATACTGTCATTTCAACAAAATGGATGGAACAGGGGAACATTGTTATGTGAAATAAACCAGATACAGAAAGAAAAATGCTACATGATTTTCCTCATATATAGGAACTAAAAAAAAAAACCTCATTCTGAACATGGAATGGTGATTACTAGAAGCTGAGAGGAATTAGGTATGGATACAGGCAGTTGGCACAGCAGGTGTCAAATCAGTGTTAGATTGAAAGGGTAAGTTGCTAGTACCATACAGAATAATGGGGCAATTATATTTCATATTAACCAAGCATATATTGCATGAATGAATAGATGAAAGAAGTTCCAAACCTCCAAACAAAAAAAATTATAAAAGGAGAAATATTGATTACCTTATTTTGATCACTACAATCTCTATGCATGTGAGGCTGGTGCTGTGGCACAGTGGGTTAAAGCCCTGGCCTGAAGTGCCGGCATCCCATAGGAGCACCAGTTCTAGTCTTGGCGGTTCATGTAGGATCTTTGTCCTTAGTGTGCTGTACATTGAGATTTAATGCTATAACTAGTACTCAAACAGTATTTTTCACTTTATGTTTCTGTGTGGGAGCAAACTGTTGAAATCTTTACTTAATGTATGCTAAACTGATCTTCTGTATATAAAGAGAAACGAAAATGAATCTTGATGTGAATGGAAGGGGAGAGGGAGTGGGAAAGGGGAAGGTTGCGGGTGGGAGGGACGTTATGGGGGGAAGCCATTGTAATCCATAAGCTTTGGAAATTTATATTCATTAAATAAAAGTTTTAAAAAAATACACCCTCAATGGATGCCACAAAAAAAAAAAACAGATTTGATCGCTTGTATAGTTTTGCCTTCAAGTTCACTGATTGTTTCCAAACCCCCTCCATTTTGCTTTTGAGTTCATCCATTGATGGGTGTTTTCAGTTACGATATTTTTCATTTTTTTTTTTTGGACAGGCAGTGTTAGACAGAGAGAGACAGAGAGAAAGGTCTTCCTTCTGATGGTTCACCCCCAAAATGGCCACAACGGCTGGTGCACTGCGCAGATCCGAAGCCAAGAGCCAAGTGTTTCCTCCTGGTCTCCCATGTGGGTGCAGGGCACAAGGACTTGGGCCATCCTCCACTGCCTTCCAGGGGCAAGGCAGAGAGCTGGACTGGAAGAGTAGCAACCCGGACAGAATCCAGCGACCCAACCGGGACTAGATCCCGGGGTGCCGGCGCAGCAGGTGGAGGAGGGTTAGCCTAGTGAGCCATGGTGCCAACCGATATTTTTCATTTCTAAAACTTCTATTTGATCTTTCCATTTTGTTTCTTTGCTAAGATTATTTTTTCAATTATTTTAAGCATGTTCATATTTTTACTGAAGTGCTCTTAGGACAGCCGCTTTGAAATACTTGTCAGAAAATCCTGATACCTCTTCATCTTGGTGTTGGCATGTGTGTGTTTCATTTCATTGCTTGAGTTATGATTTTCCTGATTTGTGATATAGAGTGACATTCTTTTTTTAAGGATTTATTTATTTGTTTTAAAGTCAGAGTTACACAGAGAGAGGAGAGGCAGACAGAGCAAGAGAGGGAGGTCTTCCATCCGATGGTTCACTCCCCAATTGGCTGAAATGACCGGAGCCGCACGGATCCAAAGCCAGGAGACAGGAGCTTCTTCTGGGTCTCCTACATGGCTGCAGGAGCCCAAAGACTTGGGCCATCTTCTACTGCTTTCGCAGGCCACAGCAGAGCGCTGGATCAGAAGTGGAGCAGCCAAGACTCGAACCAAAGCTGGTATGCTGGCTCCCCAGGACAGGGCATTAACCAACTGAGCCACAGCACCAGCGCTAAGAATGACATTCTTTTGAAACCAAGGCATCTTGGTTATGATGTTTTGAGACTCTGCATCTTATTTAAGTCTTCTCTTTTAACAGGCATCCTCCAACACTGCTCCAGCAGGAGAAGGTTGGAAGTTCATAGCCTAGTGTATGCTTTGTCCTTACTAGGGCAAATATTCTGGCATGACCATGATAAAGGGTAGGAAAAAGATATCAACAACTTTGTGATTAGAGTTAATTACACATCAGGCATTGTGCTAAGCCATATAATATTTATGTCAAAGTTATAATTTTCACTCTTTGATGATAGAGAAATTGATACACAGAAAAGTTAAGTATCTTGCTCCATAGAGTTCAACAAATGAATGGCAGAACATGAGTTTAAACCAATACAGAATGAGTCCTTAGATGCCCTGCCACATAAAACAATTCTTTGTTCCCATTTCTTGTGTGAGAGCCCAAATATAGAGACAAAAAGATTCAGTAAACAATTTTTGATGAAACAATGTCATTGACAAAACCAAGTCAAAGAAAGAAAATTTCTCTTCTACCATAAAACATGTGCTTAATTAAGTAGTTGATTGAAATTCCAATAGCCCAGATGATGAAATTAGCTATGTAAGTCACAGGTAATAGAGACCATGGGATGGTTCTCTCTAAGAAACGTTTGCTTAAAATCACAACTCTTTATTCTGAGGCTTTGGAAAACTTGTCATTATTAGGAAGATCTGTTGTTCTGGATATTTCTTGGTCCTGAGACACTTGAGACTAGCTAGCTTTTGAATGGACACCTCAGCAGACAGGGTGAAGGTTTTATTTTGATTGCCCCAGCTGAGTGTGCAGTGGGGGTAGTCACTGGGAACTAGAAGGAGACATTTCATCGGTGAGTCCCACCGAGGCAGGCATGAGGCTAAGCACACGGGAAGTGGAAAGAGAGTGAGACGCTAAAGTAGGGACACAGAGGTAGACAGAGGGACTGTGCTGTGGTGTAGTGGGTTATGCCACCACCTGCAGGACTGGTATCCAATGTGGGCACTAGCTCGAGTCCTGGCTGTTCCACTTCCAATTCAGCTCCCTGCAGAAGTGCCTGGGAAAGCAGCAGAGGATGGCCAAGTCATTGGGCACCCTGCACCCACATGGACAGACACCTATGAAACCCTTGACTCCTGGCTTCAGTCTGGCCCAGCCCTGGCCTTTGCAGCCATTTGGGGAGTGAATCAGCAGATGGAAGACATATCTCTCTCTCTCTCTCTCTCTCTCTCTCTCTCCCTTGCGCTTGCAGGTTCTCGCTCTTGCTCTCTCTGCCCTTGGCTTTCTTGCTCTGTAACTCTGTAACTCCACCTTTGAAATAAATAAACACATCTAAAAAACGTTTGATAGAGGGCTATTTGCACTGTTCCTGCCACAAGGATGAAAGATCCTTACTATGTCTCAGGAATCTGGAAAAACTTCCACTGACAGCATTCACAGGAGGAAGTGAATGTTGCTTTGAGCAAGTGAAAGCCCATATAATGAGCTGGGGCTTTATCTTTTGGATCTCTACAAACACTATTATTAAGAGACTACATGGCTTCCCTTCTCTTCCTTTTTAGTATCTTATCATCAATTTGTTCTTTTTTTAAGATACATATATATTTTTGAAAGAGAGAGAGAGAGAGAGAGAGAGATCTTCCATTCATTTATTTGCTCACAATTCACAATAGCCAGAGCTAGACCTGGTAGAATCCAAGAGCCAGGATCCATCCTTGTCTCCCTCATGGGTGGTAGAAGCCCAAGTACTTGGGCTATCATCAATTGTCTTCCAGACACATTAGCAGGAAGCTGCATCAAAAGTACAGAGTAGGGGGCCGGCGCCAGGGCGGAGTAGGTTAATCCTCTGCCTGTGGCGCCAGCATCCCTGATGGGTGCAGGTTCTTTTCCCAGCTGCTCCTCTTCTCATCCAGCTCTCTGCTATGGCCTGGGAAAGCAGGAGAAGATGGCCCAGGTCCCTGGGAGACCCGGAAGAAGCTCCTGGCTTCTGATCGGTGCAGCTCCAGCTGTTATGGCCATTAATAAGCACAATCTTTCCGTGCTGGTTAAAACTTTAAAAAGTGAGTTTCAAAAAGATGAAGACACTGGGGCCAGCGCTGTGGCTCACTTGGTTACTCCTCCGCCAGCAGCACTGGCATCCCATATGGGCGCCGGATTCTAGTCCCAGTTGCTCCTCTTCCAGTCCAGCTCTCTGCTGTGGCCCGGGAGGGCAATGGAGGATGGCCCAGGTGCTTGGGCCCTTGCATCTGCATGGGAAGACCAGGAAGAAGCACCTAGCTCCTGGCTTCGGATCGGTGCAGCTGAGCCGGCCGAGGGGCCATTTTGGGAGTGAACCAATGGCAGGAAGACCCCCCCCCCCACTCTCTGTAACTCTACCTCTCAAATAAAAGAAGAAGAAGACATTTATTTCATAACTCACAGAAAATGTACTTTATTCAGGAAGAGAAAGGAGAGTTACAATCACCCTGAGGTGAAAATCCCTGCTCAGGTGGCAAACAGACACAGAAGAGGAGAAGCGGACCCTCTGATGCCATCCCATGGGAGGAGAAGCGCCGCCTTCTGAAACTCTGGCATGCTGGCACAGCTGAGGACTGCCCTGCTCGGCCGCCTTCTGCATAATAGCAGAGCACCCTCAGCAAGGCCACCTTTGGCGGTCGGGAATCATCACAGGTACATTTCAGGCTAAAGAGTGGAGGAGTTCCTTCTGCATTCGTGGTAGGTATAAAGAGGAGACAGAAGTATTGCTGGGAGACCGGAGAGCTGTCACGTTTCCATGGTCCTGAAGAATTCTGAAGCTGCTACTTGCTCTTGGGTGGGCACTTCTGCTGGCTTGGAGGAGGAGTTTGCACAGGAGGGCACTTCTGCTGGCTTGGTGGGGGAGGCTGCACAGGAGGGCATTTAGGCTGGCTTGGTGGGGGAGGCTGCACGGGAGGGCATTTAGGCTGGCTTGGTGGGGGAGGCTGCACGGGAGGGCATTTAGGCTGGCTTGGTGGAGGAGTTTGCACGGGAGGGCACTTCTGCTGGGACTTTGGAGGTGGGCACACAGGAGGAGGCTGGCAGGGCTGCTTGCACTGCTGCTGTTGGTAAGACATCTTTCTGGAGTCTCAGAGTCTGAAAAACAAATATGACAATTTTCACAAAGGGACTCCTACAGTGGAAGAAGCCAAAGCCTTATATAATACAATGGGGTATTATTTCTCCAAACACCAAAAATGTATTTTACTCCCTTAACTTCCTATTTATCATACTTCTTCCTTCCACTTTAGAAATCATTTCATCAGAACTGGCGCTGTAGCATAGTGCCACCTGTGATGCTAGCATACCATATAGGCACTGGTTTGTATCCTGGCTGCTCCTCTTCCAATCCAGCTCTCTGTTATGGCCTCGAAAGCAATGGAAGATGGCCAAAGTGCTTGGGCCCCTGCACCCATGTGGGAGACCCAGAAGAAGCTCCTGATTCCTGGTTTCAGATCAGTTCAGCTCCTGCCATTGTAGCCATTTGGAGAATGAACCAGTGGATGGAAGAACTCACTCTCTCTCTCTCTCTCTCTCTCTCCCCCGACCCCCGTCTTAAATCTACCTCTCAAATAAATAAATAAATAAATAAGAATCTTTTTTAAAAAAGAAAATTGATCCATCAACCTAAGGAAACTGTAATTTCTCATAGTATTTTTCCAAGAAAAATACCTTTGTTATAAAAAGTATTATTTGCATGAAAATAATATCTTCATGAAAGGTAGCCACAAATTCAACGATCCTGAATAATCTCACAAGCAACTCCTATCATGGTCATGTCTCATGAAGAACTTGCAGCCAAGGAGTAGAGTTCAGGAATAGTCAAGGACCTCACATCTGCTAATACATAGATGAAATTTTTTAAAGATTTTATTTATTTTTTGAAAGTCAGAGAGAGTGACAGAGAGAGAGGGAGAGACAGAAAGAGATCTTCCATCTGTAGGTTCACTCCCCACATGACCTAATGGCCAATATTGGGGCCAGACCAAAGCCAGGGGCCAGGAGCTTCCTCCAGGTCTCCCATGAGGGCAGTAGGGGCCCAAGCACTTGAGCCATCCTCCACTGCTTTTTCTAGAAAATTAACATGGAGCTGGACCAGAAGTAGAGCAGCCAGGACATGAACCTGTGCCCATATGGGAAGCTGTCATTGCAAGTGGCGACTTTTACACACTATGCCACAATGCCGGCCCCTATAAAGTTAATTTTAAGAGACATCAAAAAGCTATGAAAATGAAAATAATTGGCTCTGTACTCTTCTTCAAATCAAAGTTTTCCTGTTAAATTCTTTGTCCACCTGGACATCATACTTTCTGCCAAAATCAAGTTAGAACGGTGGATCATTGTGCCCCCAATTGTTTCCATTACCCAAGCACATTCAAGCCCAGGACCGTAACTTTGGACCCATCAAACATGCTGCCCTCTGGTTAAATTCAACATTTTGAAGCATGAAGAAAAGAGATGAACTGAGGAACTCAGACTCACCAGGTTGTCCAAAGAGCACTGGTTCTCTGGTAGGAGTTTGGTAGACGTGCAGCAGAAGGCCTTTTTATAGAGCTGACTGCCCCACCCAGGGAGAACTGGATGTGCTTAGCACTGGGCTGGTCCACCAAGTTCCTAACCAAAATGCAAATCTATTCATAATTGGCTTGACGGGGACTGTAAGAATGGGAAATATCCTGATCCAGGATCTCCTCACCGGGTGAAGGGCTCCTGACTCAGAAGCCCTACCTCGGCCCTCAGTTTCAATAACGCACTGCCAGTGGGAATACATGGGGGAATTCTCTAACTAATGGTCAAGGTTTTCTCTCGTGGATGGGGAGAATGAACCCTTCCTATCTTACTTTTATCCTGAACCTACACTATAGTTGATTGCCATGTTATTGCACATAAACCCATCCCCACCTCCACTTTCTAATAAAAATTTCCCATGTACTAGAAGGAAGGAGAGAGCTCAAAAGTACCTGACATCTGGGCCAAGGTCCATCTTTGATAAGCCATGTGACTAAGAAAGATCATATCTCCCCCCAGGTTTGTGTCTTCCCCTAGGACCAAGGGAGTGTAATACCTGTCACTCATGGTAGTGGAGGAATGAATTGGGCCACCTCTCGGCCCCATTCAAGACTGGAAACCTTTCTTCCTCCATCTCTTTCTTTTTCTTTCTTCCTTCCTTTCATCTTTCCTCCCCATAGAACCCCAGATTTAATCTATATTCCTGCCTCTTCCAATCCCACTTTTCTGCCCCATTCATAGATGTGTGTTTCTCCCAGAACACATTTCAGAGTGGAATCAGCTTCCTCAGTGCTTTTCCTTCTTGTTCCCTTTGGGGATTTCACTCACAAAAAGAAATTATTCTTAATCATCACATTAGGACAATAGAGAAACATGAACAAAAGTCAAGTATCATTCAAGATCTATTTCTTGAGCCATGCCTACGTGGTTCCCTAAGAGACTCACCAAACACATGTAAGCAATTAGAATTAGGTTTGGGGAGGGGAGAGAGAGCACTGAAAGTCTGAAATCTGGGGAAAATATGAACCTAGGCTGTCCTACATTTACATATGCTGGCTTCCTTCCACGCTCTTTCCAAATAGATTTTAGGCGTTAGTCTTTGTGAGACATTTAAAAAAAATTGTTTGCCCATGGCTTCTCCCTAAGTACCCCCAGTCCTTCTATCTGCTGCCTTATCCTCACTTCCCACATGTACCTCTTCTTTTTCCAATGAGGTACCTATCAGATTCTCAAAATGTTTGCTACCAATGTATTTAGGAGTGAATTCCTTCATATCTTTTTACACTCTTCCTGCAATTTGTAGAGATGACCAAATGTTATTTACTAAACATTTAAAGTGATGAGTGATGTTGCCAGGGGCACATTGCCCTGCCCTAATACTGAGTAAGCTTTCTAAGAAGTGGTTTATAACTGGGGAAAGAGAAATAAGAGAACAAGGAAGAAGAAGAAGAAGAGACTCAGAATCTTTGAAGCACTCACCAACTAAGCTCCAAAAGGCAACAGGAATGCTGGATAAACCCAGCATCACATCCCTCCGGTAAGCAGGCTAGGTTCCCAGAACAGGCATTGCTTTTGTCAGCAAGAATGGGCTTTTAAGCAGGAGCAGGATCACCACTGACCATGACACTGCAGGCAGTGTCATCATTTCAGCACCCTGAGGCCAGGGGTTTACAAATAGTATCATCATTGTATGGTTTACATAGACTACTACACAAGCCAAATACTCACAGGGCAAAGTTAGTGGATGCTGCTTAGTGGATCATTTACTGCTCCCCATAGCCTGATGTCATATCTAAAACACCAGTCCTTAGAGAAATGTCTGACTTCTGCCTCCAAAGTTTAAGAAATTGTTGTCCAAATGGGATGACGGTATCAGATACACAGTTTTGGTTGCACTCAAGACAATTCCTTTGAGAACACTCCGCTCAACAAGTCCGCTTATCACGGCAGTGCAGGCACCCAGGTTGTCATGGCTCTGGTGCTCCCTGAGTTTCAGGTAAGAGTCGCTTCACAGGTTGAGGTGGTAAACTTGAACAGAGTTCCCCAGAAAACAGCCACGTGAAGAACTGACACGAGATGCAGTGTTACACCGCAACCAACTTCCCCAAATCTCAACATCTAAGACATGAGACGTGCAGCGCAGCATCCTACATACACACCACACGGTCCTACCTACCCACCTGCCTATCTGTCTATCATCTGTCTACTTAGCTATCATATCTACATATGTAAAGAGCTTAGCTATTTTGTCTTGAAGTCTCAGACAGCCTGGGTTCCATCTTACTACTCCTACTCCCTAATTTTCTAAGGGTTTTACTATAAGTCATTGCAATATGAACAACAACAGGAAAGACCAAAAACATTTTAATGTGTCTGATTCTTGATTCATCATTTTATCTTACATTCACCACTATTTTAAACACCATTACACACCAAAAAAATTCCTACAATAAAATGTAGAATAAATACAGTTAAGGAAACAGGAATTCTGGTAATACATTCCTGGCGTGCTCAGCGAGACAGCAACTGCAAGCCCCCTTAGATTCCTGCCCTCTGTTTTCATTCCTACCTAGAAGGCTCCTGCTCCACTTTCTGGCCACAAAAACCACCAGACTCAAACCAGCACAGGTTCCCAACAGATGCTGGCTTTGCAGATAGCAGCTTAACATGCTGCACCACATGCTCACCCCAACAACAAAAATTTTTATATGGGCAAAGCAGCTAAATAGACATTTCTACAAAGGAGATATACAAATGGCCAAAAGACACATGAAAAAATGTTCAGCATCACTAATGATCAGAGAAATACAAATTAAACCCCAATGACATACCATGTCA